ATTGCCTTCCTGACTAACAGCTATAGGCTAAAACAAAAGGGTAACTTAGTATATTTTTTGACAATTGTAATGTTTTGAATCATTCTATCAAGGTGCCTTAAACTCATAACATTATTTTCTGCTTCTTTCATCCCTTGCATACTCCTTACTTTTTTATTGAAATATGTATTAAATTATTTTTCTTAGTGTAGACCTACATTTTTCTGTTACTGAGTTATATTCCTCACATATACTTTATATAAACCTAACTTGTTATATACAGAGATGTGTATCTGCGGAGACATTTATTGTATGTGCAAAAACTTTAATGGAAACAGCCAGCTCAGACTGCAGAATTCCTCCTACATATTAATAATTTAATACTATGTCTCAGCAGAATTGTTAGTCATCATAAAACTTTCAAACAACTCTCCTTTGAAAATTCCTTGGTTTTGTAAGAATCTGGCCATCTCAGTTATAGTCTTTCATATAAGAGGAGAAGGTATTTTCTGAGAGTGGGTTGGGATGTAGAAGGAGAGAAAAACCCAAACAGCGCTTAATATCAAAACACTTTGGACACTTATGCTGCATTTTCAGAATGCCTGACAAGTGCAGATAACTCATCTTATGCATTGACTCTTAATGACTCTGAAAGGCTTGGTGACATGAGGGTTAATTTAAGGGCAGACTACATCACAGTGAAGCATAGAAGCCATCCAGGGTTCTTCATTGGAAATGGCATGAGGCAAGCTATGCAAATGTTTTTGAAGGACTCCATACAGTGATTTATACCGTCGACATGAAAACAAGCTATTCCTAAACATGCCATGTAAAAACAGCCTAGTTGTGAGGCAGGATGAATGAGGGGTTGAAGAAGTCAAACCATGAAACCTGGTCATAACAGTGAGTGGTGGGGAAAGCGCTGGAACACTGCAGTACTGTTTCAAACACCACAAAAGCTAAGCCCAAGGGAGAAGGCAGTGAGATGTGGACTCTGTGATCTGTTGCCACACTGAACTGGTTAATTCTTTCCACAGTATGAGGAGTTTGTGACCTATCTATATCAATCTCTTTGGACTCTGAACATATTATACTGATTTAAATCCTAAGTGGTTTGAAGACATATCTTAGTAAACTACTGTTATCCTCTTGATTGGCATGAAAATTTGCTGCTATTGTTTGGAATCATTAATGGGCCCTATGTGGTTGGTCAACAGCTATCACCTTCAAATCGTCTAATGATGTGATGATGTCACTAATATGGTCTTGCTGGATAGTGGAGATTGGCTGAAAAATTTCCTATTATTTTATATCTATAGTATTTTGCAGTTTTTCTTGGTTTCAAATTTTACCAATAGTCCTAAAATTTATACAGTTGTTCTTACTGTGGCAGCATCCGAAAGAGGAAACCTATGCTATGATCAAGACAGAATGCTGTGTGTACAACCCTAACAATATCAATGTCACCCATAAAGACCAAACTAACACACTTTCTGGCAATGTGCCACCCTTGGGAGACATAGTTTGGATTGCTGGGCTTTTAACAGAAAAACGGATTGATTAAATGGTGATTATTATTTTCATTTGTTAAGTTTTCTCCACAGTTCATACAGGCTTCTCTCCTGTAGCTGTAGAGTCTTCTAAAACAAAACAAAAACCAAAACAAACCAAAAGAAAAAAACAGATGGATGGTCGTGCGGCCTGCCTCCAACACATGTTGAACCACATAAAGTATCAGGGCACACTGCAAAAAAGGATATTTGGGAAGGTTTTAAGAACCATTAATGATGGTGGAATGTAAGGGTTCAGCTTGATACATGTACATCCAACAGAACTAGCTGATCCGGGTCACATTTCAAACCCCATAGAATGAGCAAAGCTTGGGCCAGGGGTTTAGCTCAGTGGCACAAGCAACTGCCTGGGAAGTGTGGGGTCGTAAGTTTGATCCCTGGAACCAAAACAAAAAAGAAAAAATGGGTTGAGGTAGTAGAATGACATGCCAGCCCCTCATGCTGGATTTTTAATAAAACCAGTTTTTATTGTTTCTTTTTTTAAAAGAAAGACCAGGGTCACTATATATAATTTCGCCTTGAAATGAAAACATTTTTTTGCCTTGGTGCTACCCAACATGATTTTCTCTGCAAGTCTCTAGTAAATTGGACTGTCTGCAGTCAGTCTCGGAGTAATCCACCTTTCTTCAGACTCTCCACCCCTTCTACTGCTGGCAATAAGATTTTGCACACAAAGGTTTACTAAAATACCAGTGTGCAAGGGAAGCATTCCTTCATTGTGGACATCCATTTAAGGCTGGGCTGGGTTGTCTAAGATTTATGGATGACTCACTCCCTCTGAGCTTTACTTCTTACCTTTGCATGAGTTTCTGAGAAAGTGCCATCTCCAAACCCTTCCCGGGCCCTGGCCAAGGAATGTCATCACTGATCGTTCTCTTCTCGTAGTGGTTGGTTTCAGTCTAGCCTCAAATGTCTGATGAGTTCTGCAAGATTTTAAAGCCTTAAGAAACCTAATAGTGAGAACTAAAGTTTTATTTTTCCCTAACATGGGCACAAACCTGTTTATGGTTTGCTACTTCTTAAATTGAAGCCAGAAGTCTGATAATGTTAGTTTTTAAAAAAAAATACAAATAAGATTAAACATGTTTCATTTTAGTCATTTTATTTTATGTGCTTTGATTCTCAAAAACTGACAGTCTATTACCATAATAAATGTATGCATATTATGTAGATTTTGCTAAAATATTTTACAACATTAATATTACAAAAAATACAACATTGTGTTTGAAGATTTGTTTTCAAATGGTCAAATTTATGGTTATTGAATCTGTGTTATTTTAGCAATAAAAATATCCATCCATGGGTAATTTTGAAAATTAAAATAAATAAAAAGTAAAATGTATCTTTCTAAATATACAAGTAAAGCTTGCATCTCTAGAGTCTTCATACTTTCTATTTCATGATTTACAATAATATTGTAAATGATGTATAGAAGCAGAATGATGATTATTGTAATGGTTACTGAAGTAAGTACAAGTCATATTATTTATTATCATAAGAAATAAAACGTCAATTTCATACAATTTTAGACTTCAAAATAATATAATTATAAGGTGTATGATCCTGGAAAACACAATTTAAGTCTTTAGTGACAAAAGAAATAATATGAAATCTGATGATTCATGGATTTCAGATTAATCATTATTGAGCATAAATTAACTAGATAGCATATTTTCTGAATTATAAATTTTATAAATTTTTGTTTCCAATTTAATTTCATGAAATATTTTTAATTTTATGTGAAAATTTAAGCAATTAGTTAGATATTCAAACAGATATTTTAAAATCATATGAATAAATAAATGAAATAAAAAACCTAAAACATCCTCTATATATGTCACTTATAGAAGTCACCTAGGTACGATTAAATTTCCTATTAGAGAAGGACAAACACAGAGCTTCATATCAATTTTTGCTGAAGGTGCCAGTGTATTTGCCAATTTACCTCAAATTATTGTCTTGTCTATGTCACCAAAATTTTAATTCATTGATCAGAGCTCTTCTACAATATATGTCTCTACTTTCTCAGAAAACATTAAGAGATAATGTCTTTTACTGAACACAGTTAACTAATTCAGAGAAGGTAGCTAGAATAATGAATTTAAGAAAGATCAAAATTTCATCCAGATGCAGAGTATATACCACAAGCAAATTATGTAATGGAAGCTGCCTAAGTAAATGTTAAGTTGGACCAAAAGAAAAAGAGAAGTATGACATATTAGCAAAATTCTAAATTAAATAACTATCTCAGGTCTTTTTCAAGAAACATTACAATGAAGAGAGATTAGCAAATCTTCCTAGTCCATGCAGCAGTCCCAGAATTTATTTCTCATCCTGGCTGTCATACAGTATGACAGCTAACTTAACACAACCTCAATTCCAATCAGGAAAGTTACTCCCAGTACTGATCACAGCTCCACTGATGACTGACGAAGTTTGCCTATGAGATCACCATGACGAGATTTCACCTGTCTTTCTTTAGGATATTGTGAATATTTCTGCTGATGACTGTAATAGACAAAAAGGACAAAGCATCAAACCAAATGTATCATGTTTGTTTCAGTCAGTGATGTAAAAAAAAGCACTGAAAAATTTACTCTTTCACCCACACATTTGCTCTCCATACTGGAACCATTTTCTTTCTTTTCTTTTCATTCTTTTTTTTTTTTGGTAGGAATTGAACACTCACTGTTGCACTTGCTAGGAAGACACTTTAGCCTCTAAGCTAAATCACCAGCCCCTCTAGAACAGTTTTCTAAAAGAAAAATTTAGAACAGTTGAAATGTTTAATTCAAACATGCCTTCCTTTCCATACCTTACCATATATATCATATGCACAACATACAGAAAGTGGTCAAGATACTACTGAAAGCATAACCACAATAATACACCATCAGCCTACAATATTCTCTATACTCCTGAGTGAGGCCCCACTCTGAGTAAAGTCTCACTGCTAAATGAATCTGCTACATTTTCAGGGCAAGTTGCAGCAGCCCGAGACCATGAAGAAATCCCTCTGATACTTCCAATGAGTCTAAGATCACTATCAGCATCTACTTTGTCACTGCTGTCTTTCCTTAGCTGCCTTCCATTTCTCTGTTATCAAAACCGGTTGTTGTTCATTTCACCTTCACTCTGAGTTACCTGGAATACAAGGGTGGTAACATTTCCCCAGAACACTCTGATACAGCATACCAATGAAGGTGCCTACATTAGCACTGGGTGCACATATCAACTCAGGAACTAAATTACATGGCATCATTTTGTAGACAAAATGGAAAGCTTTTGTGGAATATAGAAACCAAGATGAATATAGTTTCTCTGACCTAAGTCTCATTCGTCAAATTGCAAAATGATTTTATTTTCCTGAAAACACAAAGCCACTTTACAAAATGAAATCTCAATGTACAAGTTTTTTCTCCAAAAACAAATTTGTTGTGTAACATTATGCTACTGCATATAACCAACATGAAACAGTTTTGTGGTTATTATCTTGCGGACTGTGTCCCTCACTTCCTTATTTCTCATACTGTAGATCAGGGGGTTCAGCATGGGGATCACCACCGTGTAAAACACAGAAGCCACTTTGACTGTGTGCCTAGAGTTCTTGGAGTTGGGCACACAGTAGAGGAACAGGATGGTGCCATGGAAGATGGCAATGGCCGTCAGGTGGGACCCACAGGTGGAAAAGACTTTGCTGTGTCCCCTGGCTGATCGCATCTTCAAAGTGGTGCCGATGATGAACACATAGGACGTGAGGATGATGAGCAGTGTGCTTATCTCGTTAAAAGTGGCAACTGTGAAAAGAAGCAACTGACTGAGCTGAGAAACAGAGCAAGAGAGCGATATCAGCGAAGATAACTCACAGAAGAAGTGATTGATTGTGTTGGAACCCCGAAAAGATAACTTCAAAGCAGAACACATAAGTGTCAAGGAGCAAACTATTCCCCATGCGTATGATCCAAACACCAGCCAGGTGCAAAGCTTCTGGGACATGACAACAGTGTAGAGCAGTGGGTTGCACACCGCCACAAAGCGGTCGTAGGCCATCACAGCAAAGAGAACCAGCTCAGTCACTACAAAGGTGCAGAAGAGAAAGAACTGTGTCATGCATGCTGCGAAAGTGAGGCTTCTGTCTTCCACAAGTAGGTTCACTAGCATCTTGGGAGCGATGATAGTAGAATAGCAGAAATCTGCCAATGAGAGATGGCTGAGGAAAAAGTACATTGGGGTGTGCAGTCTTGGGTTAATTCTGATGATCATAATCATCCCAAGATTCCCTACCACACTGAAGCTGTAGATAGCCAGAAATAGCAAGAAGAGAGGAACCTTCAGTTCTGGGTAATCTGAGAAGCCCAAGAGGGTGAATGTGGCCTCAGAAGTTACATTTCTCTGTGTCAGAATCATGCTTCCTTTTGTGAGATCTGAAAATCAGTCTTGGAAATAAAATATGGAAAATGATTGACATATAGACCATTCTTAACTTTCCTCTCTGTAGAATTTAGGGTGAGACATAGATTTTTTAACTATCCTGCTATTTGCAAGGTGTCAAAATGGAAACAGCCAAAGTTTCAGTAATAGAATCGTTACACATTATTTTCTTAAATTATTTTTATAATATTATAAAATATATTTGCAGCCAAACAAGTGACTCCAACTACTTGAGTGGTAACAAATAATCAAATTCTTATGGAAAACATTCAAACATCACTGAATGTCATGAGTTTAGTAAATAAAAATCTAGAAAATGAAATAACTTTTCATATTGGCCTTATAATTACTGATGAAAAGTGAAAACATTTGAAATACCTTATGCTTATAACTTTTCATTATATAATTTTGTACCTAGTATTTCAATCATTCTTCATTATGATTATTTATGTAAGATATCAAAGCCATTAACTGCTTCTGATTTTAGTTTAACAGTTAACCTGTTGAACTGCTGTCTTCTACAGATGAACAAAGTGAATATATAAGAAGCCATGAGTTGCCTGATAATCAGAAAATCGAGGTTCCTCCACTGTTAGTTAAATACTCATCTCTTAATGGCAGGCTCTAACTTGTATAACAAATAGGTATCTTGACATTTAACTTTATAAATATCACATTGGGTACCTGATTTTGTATTTCTTTTGACTAACTTTTATACACTGTTTATATTATAAAACTATGAAAATTGAAAATAACGAGGGTCACAGATATGTTGTTAGTACTGTCATTAAGTATGTACAGATAAAATGGCATTCAAAGAAAATTTCCCCTGAAGGAGTAATTATGAAAAAAATCTTCATAAACATAAAGACACTTTGTTTTTCTGTCCTCTTCTCTCTTCTGTAAGATCATCTAGAACATCAGTGTGTTTCTCCATTAACTCTCACAAAAGGAGATGGAAATGTGAGGATCTCTACACGCTCAAAATAATTTTTGAGAAAATAGTCCTTATTACACAGAGATTATTCACATTTATCTGACTGGTATTCAGGTATGATCTGCACATAAATTGCAGAACCCTACTTAAATTTAACTTTCACCAAGATAAGAGGGAGTTCCAATTATTTCACAAGATATATACATACTAAAATTTATTTTTTATCTGAATTTCAAAGGTTAATCTGGCCTTCTATAGTTTTGCTTGTAAGGCCATATGCATAACTCACTATCACAGAAGAGTGCGAAAATCAACGCATCCAGTTCTCCTGGACTGGTCTTTGCCCTGGTGAGCTAAACTCTTTGTGAACAAAGAATTCCTTGATTTGCACACCTTCACAATGCAGACCTACTACCCAGACATTTCTGATAAGGCTATTTTGTTTGCTTTATTCCAGTGATAATGTCCAGGAGATTTTTCACCATGCACTTAGGGAAGCACATCATCTTAAAAGGACCCATGGTCCTAATTGTTCAGATATCCAAAAATTTAAACACTGATAAGAAGGAAGTATTTTTCAGTGTATTCTCACTGTCCTAACTCCTTCTTATTGTTCTATTTCAGGGCTTCTAAACCTCAAGTGTATTTATGTTCTGCACCAGATGATTCTTTGTGAAGTGAAGTTACCTGTGAATTGTGTAAGATAGAGTAAAATCTGACCTTCACTATCTGGATAAGAGTGTCACTCACTCCATGTGCTGTGAAAATAAAAAATGTCCCAAGGCACTTTTTGAGATGAAGGGAAGATTATATAATCTCCAGAATTTAAGAACTACTATTGCATTTTCTTTATACTGGTAAATTTTAATGATTTTTTTCTGTCTGATTTCAACGTATGGCTAAAGGGAAATTTACATATCATGATTTTATGTTTCTCAAATAGTATTATTTTACTTATTAATGAATATATATTATCCTTAAATCTGAGCAATGCAGTATTTAGAATCCTCTTTGTACTTTTTCCACTAATGAAATCAATTTTTCCCCATATTATACAACTTTATTTAGATAAAATCCTCTTTACTGCTTCTCTAAAAAAGGTCATTTCATTCCTTTTAATTCAATTTCATTTAAACCTCTATGTTCTTTGCAGGTAATTCTAAAAATTCGCAGGTGCAAAGGGATGAATCTGTAGATGTGGACATATTGCTGAAAATTCTCAGACCTCTCTTCTGCCCATGCCCAAGACACTGAAATAGAGAAGACCAGCTAAGCCAGATCATCGGTACAAAGATGTACAAGAGTACACCACCTGTTACCTGTATATGCACACACACCATGTCTATAATAGCATATATTTTTCCTAAACTATTTTCTCATGAAGAATCTACAAAATCTGAGGCATCTTCTACATACCTTACATGGGAAGCATCACACATGTGTTCTGAGATCTGGAGGAACAAACTTGCCTGCAGGAAAGGCAGCCTCCATCTGCCTCTGGAGAGCTTTTCTGAAAGAGAAGCTAGCCTTCTTATCCTTGCTGCAGCTCCCTGTGCATATTCTAGAGAAAATGGATTGCCGATTCCTCCAGGGGAACCCAAACAAGCAATTAAAAGTAATGACTTATTTATGATGTAATTCTCATTTCAAGGAAAAATTATGAAAAATCTCAGTGGCTTAGAAACATGTTTTATGGAACCTAACTTCACTCAATGTCATTTCTCTCTGTTCCCAGATCATTGTCATAGTATCCAATTATCATCATTATTGTTGTTATTATTATTATTATTTTTTGTCTTTTTCTTTTTTATCGGTACCGGGGATTGAACTCACGACTGTCTGGTTGCAAAGCAGGCGCTTATGCTGCTGAGCTAAATTCCTAGTCCCGTTATTATTTTGCAACACGAAGAAAATGTCACTGGAGCTACTTATTTAGTATTCAGCCTTAAACATCTGTCTTCAGGCATTGCCAAAGTTAATTGCTTCCACATAATATAACCACAATGAGTAAAAAACTCTGATTCTGCCTTTAGTTCCCTCAGCTCCTTCCTTACATTCTTGTGCAGTATGTGTACACAAGATATCTCCACCCGTGTTGAGGATAAGGCTGTGGGGGCTTGGCACTGTGTCCTTGCAGTCCCCAGTGCAGCTCAGTCTGGTGAGCCCAATCTGTTAAGGTGGCTCATGCTGTTAACAACAAGTATTCTCTTTTTTTAGAGAATAATAATATTATCACAATATTGATCTCTATTTATTATTTAGTGATAACTTTTCTCTAACTTGCTCAAATGCCAATTTATATAAGATTGGAAATTTCTGATTAGTTTTTCTGTTACCATTTACACTTATTTTGATTATATTTTATACTCTTTACACCCATAAAAATTATTGTATATGTATGTTGCACTGCCTTTAAAACAATTATTTAAAATTTCAGTTTATATATTTGTTTAGACAGGCATAAAATATTTTCTTCTGGATATTTCCCACATGGTTGGGTGAAAGGAAGAGAAAGAGGACCATGCAAATATAATACTTCCTCCCAAAATAAATGAATTAAGTAACAATAAACTAGATTTAAATAAGTGAATTCTCTAAATTCTTTGCCAGCCTGAATGACTTTGAATCACATGTTTGTGATGCAGTTTCTGTAAAGGAGCCCCACGTCTTCCCCACTGGATTCAGTATTCTCATTCTCACAAATTTCGGTATCTGTAAATGCCGTATATCTATAATTGGTATATGCTGTTTTATGGAACTGCTTACTTATGTACTGTTTCATTAGCCTCTTTTTATTAATTTTTTAGCTTTGCATTACCATTTCTACACATAAAGACATTACCAGGTGTGAAATCTGCTGTGAAATTTTTTCTTTCAGATCAAGCTTGCTATTTTCCAACAGTCACAGTTTCTGTGATTCTGTGATCATCAATCTGGCCACAGTGTGACACCTTGCTCTGTGTACACCGTCATTGGCTTCCACCCCAATACAAGGTGGATCTTTGCTGACTCCTTCCTGTGATTTCCCTCCCTTGTTTCTGTATCTACTCAAGAATGAATGTGTACATCTGTGAATGTTACAAGGCACAGCACCTCACTTTATTTCCTGTAATATTTGCTCCAAAGTAGATCTTCATGTTAAAAGCAAAAATATGTTCATTGTTGGACTTTCTTTTAATTACTCTAGCATGAGGAGAACACAGGTTGTACTATCCAGTCTTTTGGACTTCTGTTTATATATTGGAACCTTATTCTTTAGCCTAACCTTCAAATAGCCATGAATTGAAAGTCTTGGGTGAGATAGCAAAGTGTAGTATACACGTGCAATAATACGGACTCAAATGTTCTTCTTGCTTCTTGATAAATTTTAGACATTTGAAACCCTAACATATTTAATGCAGTCTAAGGTATTTTTTCATCTGTCAGTCTCTTTGCATATAAAGATAAGACTTAATAGTGAAGATAGCATAGCATCCTAAGTTAATTCTAAAGAGTGATTTATTCTAAAAACATAAGTGCCAGTGAACTAGGTGCAGTGATGAATCCCTGTAATCTCAGTACCTTGGAGATGAGGGAAGGAGGACAGATTTGAGTTTGAGGCCATCCTGGGCTACACAGTGAGTTCATGACAAGCCTGAATTATATAGTGAGACCATAAAATTATAAAAATACTTAGTGAAAAAACAAGGTTAAAATTTAACTTTAATAAAAAAGTTCCATCTTTAAACAAGTGATTGCAAATGTAGAAATTGGCAAAAATAACTGAATTTCCAGGGCTAAGACATGAGATGGCATCTCAGCTGAGACCTTGGGACTCAGAAAGAATTACACCTTTCTGGAAGTGAAGGTGCCAGTCTTGCATACATCAAGCCACCCATTGTATTGATAATTAGAAGCCTTTCTTGCCTGAAAAAAATTACTCTGTCTTTTCTTCCAGTCAATGCCTGCAAAGTTGTGATCCCTAGAGTTCTGTCATGAGTCCCACCCATCTCTGTGATTGATATGAATAAAAGTCATGAGCTTTTAAATTGTTGTCTTC